AAAAAAAAAAAAATGCAGTTCTTAGATACCATTTCTGATTTTTCTATTATCTGTAAGCTAATCACATGAAACTATAAAATTAGTAAATGTCTTGAAATCTCTATATAAAACCTAAATTGCCTCTAATTTCAAATTCATTTATATATCACTCAATCTTAAAAAAAAAAAGTCTCCAAAGATAATCTTATACCGTTCTTTAAAAAAGGAAACTGTTGCGGGGCGCCTGGGTGACTCAGTCGGTTGAACGTCCGACTTGGGCTCAGGTCATGATCCCGCAGTTCGTGAGTTCCAGCCCCGCATCGGGCTCTGTGCTGACAGCTCGGAGCCTGGAGCCTGCTTCCAATTCTGTGTCTCTCTCTCTTTGCCCCTTCCCCGCTCATGCTCTGTCTCTCAAAGATGAATAAACGTTAAAAAAAATTAAAAAAAAAAAAGGAAACTGTTCCTTTTAACTTTACACCCATCCAACACCCCAGTTTCAAAACACATCATTTAATTATCTTGGTCATGGACATTTCCAAGATGAGATTTTCTATTTCATTCCCATAGGTTCTGGTCATTAGAAAAATCATGCTTTCCTTTATTGAACGAGTTTGGTCCTAACGATGTTGGTGTATCCCTTCCAGTATTCTTCATCCTCATCTTTGTTTCTGGAGTCATTTCCTCTGTTCACTATCTTCATCTTCATTAAAGCCTACTGCTACTGAAAGGGTTTTTGGAGCAAGGGTTCCTCTAGGCTTACTTGATCCAAGTTTGATGGATATGGCTGAGACTTTCTTTGTCACTACCTATGGTGCTTCCAAATTTGTGGATCTTTACAGGCTTTGTTGAGAGGTTTGCAGCTTCTTGTTCAGCTGATTACTTCTTGGTGTTGCAACTGGAACTTTCCCTTTCACTACTCTGACAGCTCCAGCTGGCAGTGGCTTCTTGGGCTTCTCCTTTCCTGCCTTCCTGGCCACCATTTTCCCCACTATGCTGAAAAAATGATTTTAAAGCAATTTGAGGTTTATAATGATGTTCCCTTCCTCCAGAAAAGATTTATGTTTGCTCTTACTAGACACCTGGAGGCCTAGCAAACCAGGCCTCCAAAGCTGTCATAAGCCCATTTCTCAGCCATTCAACTTCCTCCTCTTCTGGAATTGGTAAATAACTGCAGGGGGAAAAAACTGCCCCAAAAGCTAGGCTCTCTGGAGGGCCTTTTTGAATTTCTATATTCTCTTGCATCTGGGTTTATTAATTCCTCGCTACCGTGTGCTCTTGATATTTTCAGGTATTTTAAATTTTTGTGGAAGTTTGGTCTGAATTGGTCCACTTTTTATTGCAAGTGGAAATCTTGATTGTACAACCTTTAAAAAAGCAATCATTGCTATTAAGTTCTCCAGCCTCACATGAAAAGCAGAGGGGAGTAGTGAAAACATACAGGCTTAGTCACTTAAACCTGGTTTTGAGTCCTTACTCCATTGATCACCAACTCTTAACTTACTATACTAACTTCTGTGATTCTCGGTTGTCTCTTCTCTAATAGGTGTATATCCCCTTTCTCATAAGAATATCGGATAAAGTACCTAATCATAACTAGGCTTGGTACAAGTGCTTAAACATGAGTTACTCACTATCCTCTTCCTATACCCTCCTTCCTTACCCACTTTGTCATATTTGTCTTGGTCAAATTTTGAACTCCCTACTTCCTTTTTGTTTCCTTCAGGTGATTCTAGTCACAAGATTCCTATTTCAAACTTTGAATCTGGGCATGATCAAGCAACTGTGTTACAAAACCTTTATAGTTTTATTCACCCAAACCCAGGAAGCTGGCCACCTATCTACTGCAAGGTAATTTCAGTGTAAGAATTTTTTTTTAAGGTTATCCACTTAAGATACCGAAAGATCCACAAAAGGTACCCAAAGAAATTCTTTTAGATTAGGAGTTGAAGAACTGGGTTTTAATCCTACTAGTTTAGTGTAATCATGAACAGATGACCTTTTTCTGCCTGTTGGTTTCTTCATGCGCCTACCCTAGGTCTCCCTTGCTTTTCACAAAGTCTGTTAACATTGCTTTATAAATGTAACTTTATTAATAGCAGCAGTCTTTTAAAATACATGTTGCTCTTTTTTATGGTTCTCATTTAGTTGTCACAAACTCTTTAGTCTTTCCCTTCCTGCCACCCCTATCTCCCCAGTTTGAAAGAACAACAATTGAACAACAATGTAGGAGAAAATACAAGTAAATTTTTTTCCTTCTCCAGTCTGATGACCGAGCCAGAGTCAACTGGTGTTTGAAGCATATGGCAAAGGCATCAGGTAAGTAAAACTAGGTTACTGTTCAAGTGCTTTATAATGTCTGTGTTTGTTTCCATTTTGATGTACATCTTCTGTGTATCTAAATTCACTAATTGTATGTCTTTTTCTATTTACCAATGGAAGAAATCAGGCAAGATCTAGAACTTCTCACTGTAGAAGATCTTGTAGTGGGAATCTACCAGCAAAAATTTCTTAAGGAGCCCTCTAAAACCTGGGTTCGGAGCCTCCTAGATGTGGCCATGTGGGATTATTCTAGCAACACAAGGTATTTATAATGATTTTGTGTTCGTGATTTTGACTTTTCTGAACTGAGAAAATATGACAAGATTGGTTTTTCCATCAGTGGGCAGTGTTTTCCTATGAAACTTTGGAATCATTATTTCCTTGAATATAGGATTCCATTGATTGTCAGATACATTGTTACTTTGTCTGCAACTAAAAACAGACACACTACCAAATAACTGACAGGGTGCTTTATCACTTAGAATTTTTATACTGATGGAAGAATATATTTATTTAAACAGATGTCATATTACATAGAATTCTTGCATATATATATATATGAAATATGTAAGTAAAATAAATTGAAAATATTTTATATTTTGAAATAATTTCAGGTTTACAGAAAAGTTGCAAGAATAGTACAGAAAAGTCCTATATGTCATTCTCTCAGGTTTCCTAATTGTTAACATTTATTTATTTATTTTTCAATGCTTATTTTTGGGAGAGAAAGTGCATATGTGCACGTGAGAAGGGGAGGAGCAGAGAGAGAGAGGGAGACAGGGTCCAAAGCAGGCTCTGCGCTGACAGCAGAAAGCCCAATGGAGGTCTCTAACCCACGAACCGTGAGATCATGACCTGAACCAAAGTCTGATGTTTAACGGACCGAGCCACCCAGGCTCCCCTCTAATTGTTGACATTCTAATACATTTTCTTTATAACTTGCTCTCTAGACACAGTTTCTTTTTCTGAACCACTTGAGAGTAAGTTGCTGCCATGATGCCTTTTCACTTCTAAATATTAATGTATTGTTCCTAAGAACATGTATAGTAACATGATAAAATTATCAAAACAGGATATTGCCCTTGGTATAATAGTGTTGTTTAATTGGAAGACCATATTCATATTTTGCTAGTGTTCCAGTAATATATTTTATAGCAAAAGAAAATCTAGTCTAGGGTCCAACTCAGGAGCATATGTTGCATTTAGTTAGGTTGTTTTAGGCTCCTTTAACCTGAAATAGTTTCTCAGTCTTTGACTTTCTTTTTGTTTAGTTTTTTTTCAAGTTTTTATTTAAATTTCAGCTAACATATTGTGTAATATTAGTTTCAGGTGTAGAATGTAGTGATTCATTATTTGCATACCACACCCAGTGCTCATCACAACTGCCCTTCTTAATACCCATCACCTATTTAACCCTTCCCCCTTGCCCGAGTCCCCTTCAGTAACTCTCAGTTTGTTCTCTGTAGTTAAGAGTCTATTTCTTGGTTTGCCTCTTTTTTTTTCCCCCCGTGTTCATCTGTTTTGTTTCTTAAATTCCACAAATGAGTGAAATCCTATGGTATTTGTCTTTCTCTGACTGACTTAGTATAATACTCTCTAGCTCCATCCACAGCATTGCAAGTGGCAACATTTCATTTTTTTTCATGGCTGAGTTATATTCCTTTGTATATATCTTCTTTATCCATTCATCAATTGATGGACATTTGGGTTCTTTTGATAATTTGGCTATTGTTGATAATGCTGCTAAAACATGGAGGTGCTTGTACCCCTTTGAATTCATATTTTTGTATCCTCTGGGTAAATACCTAGTAATGCAATTGCCAGATGGTAGAGTAGTTCTGTTTTTAACTTTTTGAGGAACTTTTTAACTTTTCCATACTATTTTCCAGAGTGGCTCATGCATGAAGTTTGCATTCCCACCAGCAGTGAGGGTTCCCCTTTTTCTACATCCTCACCAACACCTGTTGTTTCTGTGTTAATTTTAGCCATTTTGACTGGTGTGAGGTGATAACCTTGTTGTAGTTTTGATTTGTATTTCCTTGATGATGAATGATGTTGAGCATCTTTTCATGTGTCAGCCATCTGTATGTCTTTAGAAAAATGTTCGTGTCTTATGCCCATTTTTTAACTGGATTGTTTTTTGGATGTTCAGTTTTATAAGTTCTTTATATATTAACAAATGATGTTGGGAAAACTGGACAGCAACCATGTAAAAGAATGAAACTGGACCACTTTCTTACCATACACAAAAATAAATTCAAAATGGATGAAAGTCCTAAATGGAGACAGGAAACCATCAAAATCCTAGAGGACAACATAGGCAGTAACTGCTTTGACATTGGCCATAGCAACTTCTTACTAGATATCTTACTAAATACGTCTCCAGAGGCAAAGGAAACAAAGCAAAAATAAACTACTGGGACTGCATCAAAATAAAAAGCTTCTGCACAGCAAAGGAGACCATCAACAAAACTAAAAGGCAACCTACAGAATGGGAGAAGATATTTGCAAATGACTTACTGTGACTTTTTTGATCTTGACATTTTTGAAGAGAATAGGCCAATTACTTTATAGACTGTTTCTTAGTTTTAGTTTGCCTGTTATTTCCTCATGAGTAGATTGAGGTTCTGTATTTTTGGCAGGAGTGCCACAAAAGTTAGGTGTCTTCTCAGTACGTCGTATCTGGATGCATCTGATGTCCATTTGTTCCATTATTGATGGTAACTTTGATCATGTCTGCCAGATTTCTGCCATTGAAAAGTTAGTTTTTCACCTTAAAATTAATATTTTGTAGGGAGATATTTTGAGATTTGGTAGATCTTCTTCTCCTCAAATTTCAGCCTGCCTGTTAGTTTTCACATCCATTGATGATTTTTGCCTGAATCAGTAATTACTACATTTGTGAAGTGGTGATTTTTTATTTTTTATTTTTATTTATTTTTTTTTTTACTGTTTATTTGAGAGAGAGAGAGAGAGAGCTCAAGCAATTGGGGGAAGGGCAGAGAGAGAGAGGGAGGCTCTATGCTGTCAGCACAGAGCATGATGAGGGGCTCAAACTCAGGAACAAACCGTGAGATCATGACCTGAGCCGAAATCAAGAGTTGGACACTTAACCGACTGAGCCACCCGGGTGCCCCTGTGAAATGGTGATTTTCTGATCCAGTTGTTCCTACTACATTTATTAGTTGACATCCTACTGTAAGGAAGAGCTTTTATTTTTAAAAATAATGAGTATGGACTCATGGATTCCTGTTTTATTCAATGGGCTATAATCTTTTACTGTCAACTTATTTTTATACTTACATTGTTTCTTCATGGCCGTTGGGAGTCCCTTCAAAGCAGTGGTTTCTGTCCTTTTGGCGTTTCTTCATTATTCTTTCAGTGCTTCATTGCTTTCTGGCTTAATACGTTCAGGCTCATCCTTGTATTTTCCTGCTTCTCCAAGAAACCCTGGTTCCTTTAAATGGAGGAGAGTATTTAGGAGACAGGATGTGGGTGCTAGGTATGTTCATTCCTACTAGAGCATCATTGATTCTAGTTCCCCTTAGTGGATAGAGCTAGGAAATACATGTATATACACCCCCTCCACACACATTTTTATCTGTCTCACCATGAGTTCATACTAAACCTACACATATTGTTTTCTACTTTTCCACTTTTCTGTTTTTGTATTTCTCTTCTCTGAGTGAAAAACCTGGCACTCAATATTCTTGTTTGTTCAGTCCTAGAATACAGTAAGTAAAAGTCCATTGTTAGAGAACTGTTAAGTGATACCACTGTAAAATGACATACTAATAGTTCAGAATTTGCTTTCAGTTATTTAGTCTGAAGATACATAGTCAGAATACTTTGTTCAAAAGTTATTTGGGTTGGTTCTTTCCCCTTCTTCAGTCTGGTGAAATTATTATTTGAAATCTAGTTCAACCCCTTTGCTTGTTTTACTGCATTTTTTCCCCATCCTTGTTGATTTTATTCTTTTTAATGTGGTTTAAACAAAATGTATATGCAGAAGAATCCCTTCACTTCAGTCTAGCTCCATAAAACTCCTTGGATTGCATTGAATGTATAAATTGGGGAGAACCGAAATGTTTATAATGTTGAATTCTATCCAAGGTGAGATGTGTTTCCATTTCTCTAATCTACTTTTGGGTCTTTCAATACTTTTAAAATTTTCTCAAACAAATTGTGCATATCTGGGACTGGATAATTTTTGTGGGGCAGTTCCTTAATAACTTTCTCTGTTTCTTCTATGAAAATCAATTTGATTAGGCTTTCTAACTTTAATGGAATCAATTTTGGTAATCTGTACTTCTCTAGGAGATTGTACGCTTTATATAAGTTTCCAAATTTATTTAAAAGTCTGCAAAGTTAGTCTCATAATTTTTAAAATTACCTCTGTTTCGGTGGTTATCTTGTGTATTTGTGTGTTTTTTCCTTAAATGAAGATAGTATATTGTCTATTCTGTTGTTTTTTTCTTCAAAACAACTTTTTTTTAAATTCTCTTCCTCATTAATTTCTGTTTTTTTCTTAATTTCTTGGTACTCTGGTTCTTTTTCTATTTTGGGGGATCAGAATTCATTAATTTTTATATTTTATTGGTAGGTGTTTAGTAGAGTGAATTTTCTTCTTAACATTGCTTTCAATGCATCTCATAGATTCACATACAGTATTTTGTAATTTAAAAAATATTCTGTAGTTTTAAGCCATGAGTTAATAATCTCCAGGTGGAAAGGCCTTTCTGGTTTTTGTTAGTAAGTTCTGGTGTCTTTGCATTGTGATTTTAAAAAATATATTTAAAAATATTTCTTTTAAAATTTCTTTTAAAAAAAGAATTTCTTTTAAAAAATATTTCTTTAAAAAAATTTTTTTTTGAATATTTATTCATTTTTGAGAGACAGAGACAGAGTGCAAATGGGAGAGGGGCAGAGAGAGAGGGAGACACAGAATCTGAAGCAGACTCCAGGCTCTGAGCTGTCAGCACAGAGCCTGATGCGGGACTTGAACCCACAGACCACGAGATCGTGACTTGAGCTGAATTTGCCACTTAACTGACTGAGCCACCCAGGCGCCCCCATAATATTTCTACTTTATGGAAGTTTTTTGCTAACTTAATATATAATCAATTTTGTGAATGTTCTGTGGGCATGTGAGAAGAATATTTATTGTCAGGGTGTAGCATTTGACATTTATCCATGAGGACTACTTTGATTATGTTTAAGTTGTTTTATCTCTTAAGAAAGACGGGTTGGTGAGGATGTGGT